GCATAAACATGAAAAATGTCACCACCCGCCATTTGTTACAGACGCTGAACGCCGACCCCAGACGCTAAACACCGTACATAAAAAAGTTGGAGACTTTAACAATATGTGACCACTTTTGGTGGTGACATAAAAAGGGGAAGTCCCGTCTTAATAAAACTCCTGATTTCCAGTTTTTTGTAAACATACACCATTGCATGTTGATGGTTCGCATGACCTGCAGGTCACGATGACAAATGAATGTTACGTTGTCAATAGAATGTAGGCTAACTAACTTTCACGTAAGGTAGATTCCCCGGGTAGATTCGCGAGATTCGTGATTATTCCCCCGGGATTAGGCTATTCCAAAGCAAACACCAAAGATACCAAATCGAACTCCCAATGAATTATTGATCGTATCTATCCTAGGGCCTATCATTTCAATGTAATTTAAAGGCTTACAGGGGTGCTTCAAAATCATCCCTGCGGCCCAAGAGTAATTCATTGCATTGTGACATTCATGAGCTGCTATGAAAGCAGTGAAGGACCGATCTTGAAGGATGCTTCAAAATCGGGTTCAAATTGTAATATTGAGGCCTACTAATCTTTCATAACACGTGACGCATTCTATATTAGCATTAAGAAATGAGAAATGGGCGTAGGAGCGGAGTAAGAGACCCAGGATAAGAAGAACCATTGGGCAAGATGGCCCACCAAGTTTGTTTATCATCAAATATACATCGCCTGATATTATCTCCTGACAGGGACAGCATCGATCTCAATGGCCATTGCACTTTGTTTCATTTAGGCGGCACCTTCTCCAAGAAGAAACTCTTTTAACGGCACCACTTCTGTAAGTCTGTGGTAAAAAACCTCCCGTCCGAAGAAGTTATCTTACAGAACGGCCCCTTTTGACCCTCGGGGGCCCTTCTTGCCCTGCCATGGCCACACAAAACCATTTCCAGTAGTGACATTTGCGAGTTAATACCAATAAGAATAAAACGGACCGAATAAAACCAATGTCCTTTTTTCAATAAACATGGCTACATGTATATTTAAAGTTTATATACCCATTCGGGGAAGACAATATAAATAAAACAATGTATTTTAAATTAGCACACAGAACAACTTTTAAATAATTACACATTTTTATTAAATTTTTCGAATTCATTTGGTACGCCTGTGCGCATTTGGCGTAATATATGCGATACGCCAATGTGAGTGTTAGAATAGAAACATACACATCAATTCCAATTTTCGTTTGATTCCTGTATGATTCCTGAAGGCTGGATTCATTTGTAAACTATATTGCATATGAATCCTGCTTGAATCCTGGCTACAGGATTCATTTGCAAACTACCTTCTATATGAATCCTGTACGAATCCTGAAGGCTGGATTCATTTGTAAACTATATTGCATATGAATCCTGTATGATTCCTGAAGGCAGGATTCATTTGCAAACTACCTTCTATATGAATCCTGTACGAATCCCGAAGGCTGGATTCATTTGTAAACTATATTGCATATGAATCCTGTATGATTCCTGAAGGCAGGATTCATTTGCAAACTACCTTCTATATGAATCCTGTACGAATCCTGAAGGCTGGATTCATTTGTAAACTATATTGCATATGAATCCTGTATGATTCCTGAAGGCAGGATTCATTTGTAAACTATTTAAACAGCGAATCCTGTATGAATCCTGGAGGCAGGATTCATACAGGATTCATATGTGCATATGAATCCTGTATGAATCCTGACTCCAGGATTCAGTGGTTTGATTCACATTTTTTGCTGTGTTAATTCCAATTCTGACTTGATCACTAAAAAATATTACCATTCAATTATTTTATGATAAGTCTAAATGCTGGTAAGCGATGGGCCCTCGTGTATCAGGGTAATCGCATGGTGTTGGTAGTCGCATAGTCTTGGTAGTCATACGTATTTAGGGCTAGAACCAACTCAAACTATTTTGTGGGATATTTATTAACTTCGATGACATTGCATTGACTGCAAAAATCGATTTCAGATGAAAACAACGAAAACAATTTGTCGTAATAATTAGGGACTCGTACACAACGTGTCGAAGGAATCTGTTTGATCGCCGTTATATTGAATTCTATGTCATTCGATACACAAGGCGCTCGAAAAGTCACCGCCTCTGGCTCAAGGACTTCCGACTTGTGTTTCACGGAATTCGAGAAGATTTAAACCTAATGTGACATTGATTATAAAATATTGCGCAATTATAGAGTACTTTCTATAAAATACATCGCTCTAAGCTATTGAGGATAGCGTTGCTTTGATCCCTTTTATGAGAGAGAACCTTATACAAGGGATATGTCACCACCTCTTGTTAACGGCTACAAAAGTGTAACAATTGTTACAGATTCCGATTTGTTACAGCGCCACACATCACCACTTCATGGTGGTTATATAGAATGGTTGTAGTCAGCCAAACCGGTTGCCCTCTGTTGGACACAACACACTTGTGTTGCCTTGGCAATTTCAAATTGACACAATTGATGTCGACCATATGCGAATTTATGAGCAGATTCCGTTTTGTTCCTTTTTTACAATGCGAAACATGTCATCATATTGAATAAACTTCATTTGGTTTTTATTAGCAAACACTGTATGGAAATACAGTAATATCGTTCCTCATGTAATTCTTCTGTATAATCTTGTAAAATCAATCACGTGTCAAGTTGTACATCCTTTGCTAAGCTAATCGTAGAATAATAACAGATCTACGTAATCGAGTCAAACAAACATTGAGAGAGATTTCTCCGTAAGACCTGAAGACAATGATAACGCACATTCCAAAAATGTACTTCATTATTTTATATGTCAATTAAGTCATTCAACATCGCCATACACTGCACAGCATATAGCACATGTTGACCCCAAGGAACCTTGTCAGATTGTACCGAAAAATTTATATTTTAAAGGGTGGAATGCACATGTTCAAGGAAAGAATGGACTGCTTTGGGAAAGAATGGGCATGTTCAATGACAGAATGGGCATGTTTAAGAAAAGAATGGATATGTTTACGGAAACAATGGACGTGTTCAAAGAAAGAATGGGCATGTTAAAGGAAACAATATACAAGTTCAAGGAAATAATGGACGTGTTAAAGGAAACAATGGACATGTTCAATGAAAGAATGGACTGCTTTTGGAAAGAATTGGCATGTTCAATGACAGAATGGACAAAAGAAGAAAAGAATGGATATATTTACGGAAACAATGGACGTGTTCAAAGGAAGAATGGGCATGTTAAGGAAACAATATAAACAAGTTCAAGGAAATAATGGACGTGTTAAAGGAAACAATGGACATGTTCAAGGAAAGAATGGATTGTTTTATGAAAGAATGAATATGTTAAAGGGAACAATGGGCATGTTCAAGGAAAGAATAAACATATTAAAAGAAACAATGGACATGTCAAAGGAAAAAAATGGGCATGGTAGAGGAAACAATGGACATGTTAAAGTAGACAATGGACTTGTCCAAGGAAAGAATGAACATGTTCAAGAAAAATATGATATAAAAATATGAATATGCATGATCAAGAAAAGGATGAACATGTCGAAGACAAGCAAAGAGTAAACATGTTCAAGGATAGAATGGACATGTTTTAGGGAATTCAGAATGAACATATTCAAGGAAAGAATGGACATTGTCAAGGAAAAATGGACATATTCCAAGGAAATAATCATCCAGGACAAGTTCAAATATCGAATGGATACTTTCCAGGAAAGAATGAACATGCTCACTGAAAATTAAGTACGCATCCTCCTAACACAGGCCTCTAGAACTCGTACCTCCTTCTTCTGGAAGAAGGAACGTAGTGGATGATGGCTGGAACACTGCTTTCGGAAGATGTTAAGTACGGGGAACGGTCGGTACTCCGACCCTTTAATATTGCATATAACGTAGGACATCGTTGGACATTTTTGCTAATAATATCGCGCATGACCAACCGCCTTCACAAAAGGACCCGATCGTGAATATTCTCTATTTGTAAGAAATAATGCCATACTCGTATACCAGTTTAATTTTACTCCATACCATGGTAATCCAAGATGACAAAATGCTGTGAATTGTTAGTGAATTGTGTTATTATATTACACTGTTGTTTTATGTTCAGGCTCCATTAACAAATTAATAAGTTTACATAAGTAAGTGACCTATTATTAGAAATTGGTATAATGCCAGCCCACATGTAAATGTCAGTATTGGGCTCCTAAGTTCTCTTGGCGTATTTATTTTGACTTGCGTAAATTAATTAATAGGGGAGTTTCTATATTATTGCTTTGAAATCTCACTAATTCTCGTTTTTTCGTGACATTTTAAGAGATTTGCACATTAAAAGACCTCTAATTTATACAATTATGATATTTTCCATGACTTTTACGATTTCTAGAATATTTGGGCCTCTAATTTATCCATTGATGCAATGCTAAAATTCCATGGATTATTCGTTCGACAACCAACATTTTCATGAGAAATCACAATACGTACATGAACAGGGTCATCCCATGGTATACCATTAAGTTTCAACAGATTCAACCGACACTTGATACATGATAAATCATGAAATCATGATCGAATGAACAGTATATAAGTACTATCATAGGCCTACCAAGAATTCATAAGAACCTAAGACAAGGTGACGGAACATGTGGGCAATATTTTATATGACAATTTCACCATGGAATAGAAGCACCATTTACCTGCAATCCCAATTCGATCATTATGTCATTTTTCTATTTATCAAAGAATAAGGAAGCATGCAAGTTGTAATTTGTTCTTTGCCAGGCAAATAATGTTTTTATTTTCTAGTTGACGTGTCACCAGAAAACGGTTCAATGATCGTAAACATTTAGGAAACCACAAAATCGCATACCATTATATTACCTTTGTACTTTCTTAGTATGTTGTGACCTCTGATTGGCTTGAATGACCAAATAAAATACCTGAGCTGAGAACATAAATATATTCCGTGTATCAAACATGCTATAAACTCGGTACAGAGAAGTACATTGATACACTCGATTTATGTGTTGATCCTTTGCAAAGGAATTTTTAAGGATTTATATACGTCGACATTTTCGAACAATTTGTGATTTTGAACAAGTTTCGTCATCATCCGTACATCTTCTCATATGATTGCGAACAGGTAGGTCTACTGGTCTACTGGTCTGGGACGACTTAACATCACAAATTATCTAAAACATCAAAAGATGGTGAAGCTTCAAAGTAAAATGTGCTGAAAGGCTGACAAATTACTTCAAATTACCTCAAATATAAGAGAGAACTGTGTTTTTATCTCAAAATTATTCAGATTTAGTTGTCTAGTGGAATCCAGTGGATGGTAGATAGGATAAACCAACGATTGTGTGTCTGTCATTTCTGATTCATATGGCTCGATCGTTTCTTACAGTGGATTGGGAATGTAAGCAAGAATATTCAGATTCTGTATTCAGGGTGTGTCCAACTCATTCTGAATTATTATAGTCCCTCTATTTATCTAACTACTTGGGAGTCTACCCTCTTCCAAAGATAGTAGTGACTGTGGATCCAACAATCACTGGTACTGCACTCTTCAGACTGGTTACCCCAACGGATTCGTTTCGGTAACAAAATGTCGGAACCTCGAAAATACGATTTTCTTTATTTCAAGAGCTGTCGGCAGAGTTCTCGTGACATTTTTATCACAAACGTATCATATGTTTAAGGAAGGATGTACACGTTTGCGAACAAATAGCCCAAAAGACAACAGAATCTGTCACTATTGTTACGTAAACGGATCGGGTTAAAAGTGCAGATCTTAACCGTTTTTAAAGTTTCGTTTTCGTGACAAAAGTGAGGAATTATAACTATAATATGTATAGGCAAATGATGCTTATACATGTTTGTACCGAAAAGATTGGGATGATTTATGCTTTCTCGATAAATCGATTCATAGAAAAATTTTACCGAATTTTCCAACCGGAACCATAGCCATCTTGTTACCCAAACTTATTCTGATTTATCGGTCTCTAGTATTTATCTAAAACTTGTGTACAATAGTAATTGTATTCCAATTTCCAAGGGATGGCTTAGGATCCAACTGTGTACAATATGGATGTGACTGGATATAACTAGGGACTAATCTTTATGCCCTTTTGATAAGGATACCTACAGTATATGATCAGAGGAAAGGAAGTAATAAATATTTCTATAATCAGTTACGCTACGAAAGATTCTAACGAATCTTAACTCTAAATTTAAAAATAAGAATTAATTCTTTGGTGAAGCCTATATGTCTTATTGCGGGATATGAGTCAGATGATCACTACACAACAATTTTTACTTCTGTTATTCATTTCATATTCAAAGTCCGATCCAAGGCATAAAAGTTACATTTCAGATCATTTAGTAGTATTGCTTCAAGACCCTGTAGTATCACTGTATCCCATCTAACGACAGTTGTTAGAGTAGATAGTGTCCAGGGTCTTGGAGCAAGACTAATCAAATTAGATATCAGGCCAATGATATCAAAACTCCCATTTACAGTGGTTAATATCGCACTACAGCCAGACGATTTAGATAAGGATAGTAACCAGAGTGATCCTTTGGATATGCAAGAAACCCAAATCAATCCCATCGGTCTGGTTGAAATCTGGTTGAAATCCTTCTTTGCAGGGGATCTATAACTTATTTGCAAGTAATCTCTACAATTTTTGTTTTAGTTCATTTGAGTTTACCCTGGGTCGTGAGGTTGGAGGAAAGGGTTGACAAAATTTATCCTGAATTCCAATCTGCTTCATTGTTACGCTGCCCTCCGACTATTGTTGATGACTTTAGGGTTGATTTTCAGTGACTTTTTACATGGAAATATGGTTCTAAAATAAATATCGGATATGAACAAAAATACAATGTCCTGATTTTCTGACTGCACCATGATTGAACATTACTCCAAAAACAATTCTCTCAGTTGAATATTTGCACAGGGTTGACGAGTTCGTTCTTTAATCATTATTTATGACCCACTGACAAATGCAAATATGTCCTTTACTTCTTTTAAAGAGAGTGTCAGTTTTATGTAAACACATGTTTAACTGTGTAAAGCAAGGTGAATCTCAAGTGAAGTAGTCCATGTGTTATTTTTATATGTTGCAGAAGCTGGGTTGTAAATAGAAAAGATACTGAGAGACCGTTCTATGCAAACATAAGGGATACGAGACAATATGGCCACAAAGGAAAAGGGCTTTTTCAGCCTGTTTGGTTCTAAATCAGATAAACACAAGCCCCCTCCAGCAGGCCTTGGGGAGTTTGTGGGCAAATGGAACGAATTCCGTAAGTACTAAATAGAGATTTCCACTATCGTTTTTGCATGTGTTTATTGTGCAGTGGGCTTTGCATGTGTTTATTGTGCAGTGGGTTAAGAACTTTCGTAACCATGCATGTATTTATTTTTCATTGCAAATGAAATTCCTATCAGATGACTTGTCATAAGTTTGAAGTCAATATAGTTTTGAGTTTACATTCAAAATGCTACCAAATGGATATTTTGAGGTTGGACACTTGGGAACAACCCTTGCTGGTGTTTGAACGAGATTTGAAAATACAGGGCGAGCCAACTAATATAATCATTTTAAGATGACAGCAGATAATATACCAGTCGGATCTGCATGATAATATGATATGGCATATGTTATAAAATATTTGTAAATTGCACCTTTCAATTTAGTTCATATTATTCACACATTACTTACAAAGTTGATGTCAAAGAGTAGGTATAACTACGTAATCTGTCATAAGACTCAAGAGTCTAGCAGAACCAATCACTCCGTTGTGAAATGCATAGGCAAACTCTGGGAAAGGGTGGTGTCCAGAAGCATTATAAAACTAAATTCAACAATTTGCATCGACAGTCAAGTATCATTCAAATACAAATTGGGTGACCTTTCCAATGGTATATCATAGGCTATGTATTATGTATCAGTATTATGATCTCATCGCATGCCATATGAGCTCATATGAACACGTATTCCTGCTTATGAAGTATTTTTTTACATTCTCGACTATACCAACAGTGCACTTGGCTTTGCATGTGTCTTAAATGCAATAGAGACAACAATATGAACCCCTCCGTAGTCGCACATATAAGTATTATATCCCAAAATGCACAAGTAATACATAAAAGCGTGTGAACATAACAAATCTTAGCACACGGCACGGTGACTTTTATTTATTGAAATCTGAGGAACTTGAAAGAAATGATGGAAATTACTGAACGGATCCCTGTTGATTCCCTGTTTATTCAGATATTGCTGAAATGGGTACCGAGGTAACCATTCTTTCCTAACCCTACCTACGAGTACATTGTGGTATGTCTCGGCTAACAAACAAAAAGCATATTATGTTTAAGCACCATCTATTCAAATGTTCAAAATGTTTGTACTTCTAGGTTATTCCTATTGCTCATGATTTTGATAAAGTTCACGATAGACCCAATTTGTTAGCTATCACATCAATCGCGATCGATATGATCAGGGGATCTAGTTTCTTCGAAAATAACATTGTTAGCGTGACTTTTGAATGCAATACTATAAATAAGTTATTGAATGATTTGAAGTGCAATACAGGATATATTCTGCTCGAGAAATTCCGTATTGGAACGAGACGAAGTCGAGTCGAGTCGAGAGCACGAGCGTTTTTATCGTTTGATTCTCTGTACTGCAACTGAGAATGTCCACTCCGTACCAATATTTTCTGTATTGCGACGGAGATGATCAATAGGGACAATCAGCAGCAATACAGATTGATACAGCACAAAAACTGACCAATCGGAAGGCTTCATTATACAGATCATACGATAATATGTATAATTTTATCAGATGAGTTATTTTAGCTAACAACGACAGACTAAGTGTTCAATACTCGTAAGAATGCCATATTTTTCATTTCTGCAATCAGTCATATTTTCATTACATATTGCAAGTATAAAATCTGCCCTTTGTATTTGTTCGACTTTGCTTCTTAAAAGAGAGCTTATAACTATACTCTGCGCGCAGGGTATTATAAACTCTTAACAAATATATTTGAGAAAATCGAAAATGGCAACTTTGCTTAAATCATTCAGTTCAAATGACCCATCGGACGTATTTCTCACCATTCACTCACCTCTTGGGGAATCTGGGAATCGTAAATATTTTTAGATTTCACCATGAAACACTGGAAAGTTTGATTAAATTTTAAGAAAATCAAAATCAAATGTGACCGATATCACGAAATTTATATGTCCCAAAGCTGAAAACTTGTTAGCCTCGCCTCAGTCGGTATCTTTTTATCATTTTAAATTTTATTTTTATTAATTGAAAATCAAGATAAACCATGACCATGACTTGATTTGCAACATATATACTGTATATTCCTTCAACAATAAGTTGTGGTTACATGCTTTTATTTTGTACATTGTTTAAAAGATGGCGTTCACATCTGCGCGTATGTTGGTAGCCCTGTAGAGTTAATTCAATAAGGTACGTGAATGTTTGTGATTTTCGCTGGAAGATCTTGGAATGAAGATGACTTTATATTAAAGAGAGGATCAGATCAAGCGAAAGAATTGTTTCAATTTTAGAATATTTCTGGCTCGTGTCATTCCTTGTCTTGTATAATTTCTAAAAATCCCCCAAGTGAACACTTTATTTCAGGAAAACTAAAGAGTTTATTTGGGAGGATTTAAACATTTTTCACCTATTTTTGAATCCATAATAACTTCACTTCGGAAACATCAGAAAAGGAACTATCGAGCTGTATTTTCCTTGGAGTATATTTTACTAGTCTTTCATCATGTCTCTGGACCCCCCCCCCCTCCTCCACTATTTATTTTACTTAAGGTGGAAGTGAGGCTTGTATGGGTATGGGAGATTCGCAGACACTTAGCAAGACAATATTTTTTCTAGAAACGATAATTCAATATCTGATATTAAATTTTGTACGTTTAGTATGCCCTGGTACTCAGCTCTATCATTGATAATACTAAATATAGCATCCATCTGACGTTTATATCTACCCCAAGGATATAAGCTGGTCGTGTATATTTCGCTAATGCCTTCGCAATAAATCTTCTAAAGTGTTGTTTTTGTTCAAATTCAAAAAATAACAGGACATTGCGTTTTTATATAAGTTTGGATTCATCACACAATTTCAAATAATTCCCTCGATCAATTAATCAAAGTAGGTTAATTCTTGTTGTACGTTGGTTTAACTTATAAATAAATGGTGGGCCTAAGACTTGAGCTGAACATGAAGATAGAGGTCCATGAGCTGAATAAGACCTGATGTGAACCCGACCTATTTATCTTTGAAACGCACAAAATCCTATTTCAATATAAATGAAAATGCCTCGCCAGTTGGTAATTCTATAAGTTGTAACAAACAAAATGTTAAGTAATTATTTGCTAATGCAATAAAGTAACCTTGTGATAGACTACTTTTATATCCGATTTCATGAAAACCGGTAAATGTAGCCATTCTATCGTTTCGACACACTATTGTGTATCTAATGTAATAATTAAACTGGGTTCAGAAAAAGATAAGTAAAATAATGATTATCATTTAGCTTTTAGAGGAGGATTTAATTCAACAAAGCCCCGTAATGCATATAAACCATTATATCTATCTAAACATAACCTTCAACAATCTGAATATCTGCGAATGAAAGCATTTATGTTCAACAGATGTAATAGTATGTACTCACAATAGAAGATCTCTATATGTAGAATAGACTTACCTGAAAAATTTCAATTTTTACAAGCACAACAAAAAAACAGGAGAAGACAAAGAGATAATATTCGAATTTAAGGTAACATCAAAAGAAACTTCTAAGCCTACATACAGCAAGCGAGGTCTGCCGTATGGACCCTCGAATTGGATGTTTTAAGTTGGTTGTTTGAATCGTAGAAAATCATCAAAGTCTGCCTATAAGCACACAGATAGAGAACATCGAAAGCAGAGTTTATATTCGAGGAATGTTTTATTGAGTTCTGGCTCCTTGTAAACCAAGACAACCATTGATAAGGACTGAACTTACATAAATCCAGGTTTTAACTCAACTCGGATATTTTTAACATCATAAAGGATTATAACAAACTTTTGGAATCAACTAGATGTATTACTACATCCATTTACTGATTGATATCACATTAATATGATTTGATTTCGATGTCTTGGATGATTAATGTTCTTTAGCTATTGAAAGGAGTTCATCGGGAATATAGCTTGGCGTGGAAAACAAAAGTAATAGAGCCTTATATCTTCCTGATATTGTAACACATTCAAAAGGATATCGTCACGATGCTATCGGCGTTGGGTCGTGGTGGCAAGAATAAGGAGAAAGAACCCCGGGATTGTACAACATTCTGTGAGTTTGTCCTACTTTTTTTGTTATTGTATACGTTTTTATTTGTTACAACACAGAGAACATCTGGGTATATTTATTAAGAACCTAACTACAGATACTTTTGAAGGTTCTTCCCCGGGTTCTTCATTTTTTGGATAATAATTCATAATTCGTTTACCCAATTAAAAGTCATTCAGGTGTTGTCGAACTGTTTTACTGATTATTCTTGTTTGACGTATTCTATTAGGTTGCTTTTCTTCGTTTGCCAAATATTTCCTCTTGTGATTTCTGGTTCCCTCTTTGCATAGATTCTGAACAATGATAAATGATGAATTTTGAATTCATATATTCATTTTGTATAATCCAATGCCAGATTGCTTAACTTGCTAGATAGTTGGCAGATAATAGAAGTCCTTGTTTGATATCATGTTTAACTAATAAGTCTACCCCGGCTGGTGATTTTTCAAAATGTTTTTTATGCATTATATTATGTCAGCGACACTATTCCTCAATTAAAAATAATGAATGGTGATGCATTGGCGTTTTCTAAACGAGACACGAGTGCATAGCGATTCTCTAATTTAATCACAGTTTGAATCCTTACATTTCTTTGATAGTTCTTTTCTCATCCTTTACCGAGAAAAAGAATATTAGCCACCATCCTATACCGTAGTCTGTTCTTCTTTCTAATGATATCAGTTGCAAGAAGAGTTTTGATAAGTATCAAAGGACAATAGCAATTAGAGAAAATAAGATATTACATCTATTCACAGAGTCTTATATTAGATTCCAATATCAAGTTTTTTATGAAGAAATAAAAGAAATACTTTATGGCTAAAACGTGTAGTACACAAGATGAAGTTGGAGCAACTTAAACCTTGTAAATCAAAGGATAAGAACAAAAGAAAGAATGGCGCAGATTTGTCCTGCAAACCAAACTAGAAAATAG